TTTCATTTGCTGAAGTCTATTCTTTTAAAGTGAGAAAGAGAGGGGAAAAAAAAGAAAAAAAGCGAATGAATAGGAGAGAGAACGTTGTGGTATTTTGCGTAAGATGGTCTAACCAAGGGAGGTGTGGCACCTTTGGTGACGTCATCAGGACTCCCCGTGCTTCTCCCGAAATTCCGATTGGTTCTGTAGCGGTGGCACTGTAGAGACGGATGTCGTAAATTGCTGAAGCAATTAAGCTAAAGAATAAGGTCTTGATAAAGAGATATGAAAATTAAAGTTACTTAGCTCGACCAAGCAGCGTTGTTTCCGTGGGGCGTACCGCGGGGCCGATGCTGTACCTTCCTATTGTACTTTCAATAAATTCTTCTGTTATTCAGCAGACATGGAAAGATTTTTTGTTGGGTCTAGTCTCTGTCATGATTTTAGGAAGAAGTTTAACATGATTCTTAACTTCTGACAGACTTCTGGCACACGATGTAATCGTCAGTAATTCCATGTCACGCATTTTATCCAAATGTTTCACAGTTCCTTTACCTTTACGCAAATCAAACTCATCCAATACGTATAAAGTAAAAGCATACGAGACCCACACAACCTCACAGGTAAGCACAGATCCCTTTCCAAGTTATGCTAATCTTCCATTGATTTCACATTTATATTTTATCCTACGAAAGATAGTGATCTACATGAGTGAGCAACATGGAAATAAAAACCCGACCACGGTAAGAGAAGAAATATAATATCAACTTACAAGGAGTAAAAGTCAAAAATATGAGTCCCGTGCCAGGAATCGAACCCGGGTCTCGCGGGTGAGAGCCGCGTATCCTAGCCACTGGACCACACTGGATTTACTAGTGAGGTTAGCAATGGTATCATATCACACTTGTTAGATGGGAGAGGAGTTGCCATAATCTCTCCTCCATTGATCCTTATTGGAAAAATTCTTACCTTTTGCCCATTTCATCGTCAAATTAGAAGTGCTTCATCCTTCAAAACTATTTAGAGACAAGAAACTGCGCCCTCAAAGGATCTTTTTGATGCCATATTTCTTCAAAAAATAGAAAAAAAAATTAGGTCTGCAGTTGACAAGTTCGAGGTCTGCATTCCGCCATTAACACAAAAATAACCTATTAATACCCTTATACTCAGAAATACCTTTATAGTGAAAAGGGAATTGTGAGAGATAAGAGCGAAAGCAAGAAAGAAAATGGAATCATAGGGTTACATTATTGAATAAAATATATGTAAAGGAAATGTCTCAATTTCGGTTGAAGCTGTCTATAGAAAATACGCAGTTATATTCTAAACAGTGTAGAATTGCAAGAATGTAATATAGATAATAAGCAAACACAAAACATGGTTTCTTTGACATTATTATCTCAGTAATATGTTGATGTTATGAATATAGAAACAAAAAACATTTTCATTCTGTGTGAGCCGGAGGGGTGGGGGGAAGAGATGACTAAACAGGAAGAATTTACCGAGAGAAAGAACAGAAGGAGATACAGCATCGGTCCCGCGGTACGCCACATGGAAACAACGTTGCTTGGTCGAGCTAAGTTACTTTAATATTTACTTAGGGAGATTGCTTCAGTAATTCTAACCATGGCGGAATAACGTTAAAAATATAAAAGCTTGGTGAATAATAAGAAAAAAATTTGATAAGCATTTTTTTGTGTGTGTTATAATGTGCAGGCGTTCAGTTGTAAATGTAATTGTTACTCATACTTCAGGAAAATAATTATATTAGTAACAGAATCAAGACCAATGGGGGTAGAAGGAAGAGGGTAATGAGATCCCTTTCCCCTAGAAAAAGAAGGAAAAAACATTCCTTCAGACAATAATTTCCTAGCTATTTGGCGTCGGATTGGCTGAGAACCTCGGGCTCTACGAAGCTGGGGGAATATGGTAAATTCTCGCTGATTCTCTCGCCAGCAACCGGCTGTGTTTGATTTATTGTGAATAAAGAGCCAGTTGAGTAGTCGGGGGGGGGGAGGGGGGAGGGGGAGGGTCACCTGCCTCCTCGATTAAGATTTGTAGATTTGTTGATTTAATACTCTCTATTTAGCAGTTCATCGGTGACTTTTATAGATATCAGAACATTTCCGAAGTTGGTAGAAAGGGAACGACGAGAGGAACCAGACGGAAATAAAGGAAGGAATGGCGATTTTAGAATAGCAACTCTGTTTCCGCTGAATGTGTGTAGATTATTACATTTGATTTCTTTCGATTGAATAGTCATCTGGTAATCTGTTCATAAGGGTGATAATGCTTTGTAAGTTCTGTGTGTGTTAATGGCCGGCTGCTGACCTCGAATTTCGCAATTGCAGACTTCTAAATTGTTTCGCATATTTCTGGAAGAGAGAAAGAAATATGGCAACAGAAAGAGAATTTTGGAAGCGGTTTGCTGTTTCCGAATGGAATTGAAGGATGTAGCACATATAACGAGGGAAAAAAATTCTTATAAGGATCAATGGTGGAGAGATTATGGCACCCTCCCCCCTTCCATCTAAGTGGCATCTAATACCATTTCTGATCACAGGTTAAAAATCACTCTAAGCGCACTTCATCAAAAATAAATTCAGTGTGGGTCTAATGGCTAGGATTCGCGATCTCACCC